AGTATAATTCTCTTTCTACTGCGATTGTTCTAAGGCACAAAAAATCATTGGATATGCAAGCAATCCATTCTTCTGAACGACTAAATGTTTTGTTTTTGGAAATAACAGTTGTCGAGAAACCCTTAGCTTCTCTTTCTGATGAATATGAAGCTGCTCACAGAAAAATAGTGCATAACAGGTTGAGATGTTTGTGTTACAGATGTGTATGTAATCAACAAAAAATAATTTTTTCACAGGGTGCGCCTTTCTTAGGAGAAAAAAAACCACAATAATCATACGGTTCGCACTGCCATGTTGAATGTGAGTTTGTCTCATCAATTTCGACAGTCTAAAAGTACAAAGGCTCAGTTAAATTCTTACTTTTAGCGAACCCCATGTTTTATCACAAATTTTAGGAGATTTTGAACTGGCGTAGGCATAAAACAAACTTTAAGATAACTCTAGATGAACTTGAAATCAGACATGTCTACTTATATTAAACTTTGTTGATATAAAATAATTGAAAAAGTTATATTTACACACATCGCTAACGAGTGTTGACAGAAATCGTTCAATGTTCCTATTTTTAACTCGCAAAAGATATCGATCATCGTGGAACAACGATAAATTGTAAAAATCAACAGATTCATCCGAAAACTCGGATCGAACCTGTTTGCCAGTCATTTTTTCCACTAGACAGCACAATATTGGAGTTATTCTCTTCAATTTCTGGGAGCAGTTGTCTCAGTACTTTCAATCAAAGTTTTTAAATTATAAAATTCATGTGATACAGCATGTGAAACTCTGACAACAATATCGTAGCGTCACTGCAGTGTAAAAAAAAGTTCTGTCTTTCTTGGTATACAACTTTCTTTTTGTTGCCGATTTGCCTGAGTGTTAAAGTTTATTCGTTTTTTGTTCCTACTGAAATAAAAGTCAACCAATCAGACACAAGTAGAAATGAAGTAGAAACATTGTTATAACATTGCAAATAGATCTCACTTGAGGTTTACAATAAATTAAAAATTGAAAAAAGTACAAACGATATCTTGATTTTCGAATTCTATAGATATTGGCAATAACGAGATTGTGCTTAAAAATATATAGAAATATTTTCTGATTATTAATTTTCAGAAAAAGGGGAGAATTCACAATCTCATAGTATTGACGACAAAATACTCAAAGTTCAATATTTTATTCAATTTGAAATAATATAAATAACAAATTTTTGTAAGCAATATAGCATGACATGGTAAAATAACTTCGAAAAGATGTCTTTTAATTTCTTGTATTCTCTTATAGCTCACGTAATATACGATAGACAATTAATTAGTCGAAATGTCGTGAAAGTCTATATTTATGTTTTCAACATGATACAAACTTGAATTTGTTTTCGTACCAAAATGTAAAGTCTGAACTTAAACAGATATTTATGACAAAATTTCATCTTGGAAAATATTCAAATACTAAACGCGCTCTTTAAATGCATTATGATATGTTTCATTTACATTCATTTTTCGTGGAGTAGTTTTCTGATTACGCCTAAAAGATGAACTTTAAGTAGTACTGATTAACCATTTTCAACAAGAAGGTAAAAATTACTATTTTTTTCTGTTTTTGCAACTCATTTTATAAATCTTTCTTACAAAATGATGTAAAATTGTCAAATTAATTTAATTTTTGTGCAGTACAATTTATCTATTCGGTTCATTATTCAGAATTAATCCTACTAGCATCCACTAGAAATACAAAGATTTTTTCATGTTACAAGAACGTTTTTGAAAGCAGTTGATTTGCAAAAATTCTTCAAATAAAATAAGTTCTTTGTTAAATATAAGAACTGTTGTTCATACTCTCTACTCTTTCGCAGTCAATAGCATATTGAAAACATGATGATATAGACCTTGACATTTCAACTATTACTTGTCTAACACATGCCAATATCTTTTGAAATATATGTGTTTAATCAGAAAACGTAGTCGTTTATAAATCTACACCAGTTAAAAACGATGTATAATTTATATTTTCGACAATATTAGTTTAAAAAATATTTTTGATGATATAGAATTACAGTACAGAATAAAATTTCTACAAAATAGTTTATATCAAAAAACTTTATGCTATTTTTAGATCAAAAAAATATAAGCATTTTATTTGAAAAAAGGAGCAGTTATTAACTGAATAGTTAATCAAAATTAACTGGTCACTTAAATACTCATATTTTTTTGATCTAAAAATAACATAACATTTTTTGCTATAAACTATTTTATAGAAATTTTATTTTGCACTGTAATTCAATATCATCAAAAATATTTTTTAAACTAATATTATCGAAAATATAAATCATATATCATTTTTAACTACTAGTACAGATCTAGTCATTTCGTTTAATGATGTACAAAAATGATATATCTCAATCTGTTCAATATTCATCTTCTATTGAATTTACATCCATTTTATAAGTGAAAAAAGTTTCGTTTCTCATTTTGTTTTATGAGAACGTAGTATTTGGCATAGATTGACGTTTAGAACCGACTAAAAATAAAAAGTCCTTTTTTGTGTTTCTTCGTTAGTTTATTTTCTTTTTTGAAGAAAAAAACAAAAAAAATCTGAAAAAGGCAAGCAGAAAAAAGGTTATCCACCCACTTTTTTTACACTCTTGAAGTAGTCAGCTATATGTACTAAAAAGAAAAATAAATAAATTAAAATATTTCATCCAGTCGAATACACACGACTGTACTCTCAATCCAATGAAAATATTTTTTCTAAAATAAAATATATTTTCGTCACCTCCCACATTAGTGAAGATAAAAAGTGTCAAAATTTCGCTTAACATCAATAAATTCATTGTTATTTTTTTCTATTCATATATAAATTGTTTAAACGTTTTACTTGAGCAGCTGTAAAACAATGAAGATCAACTGATATATTTGAATATTTTTTTTTAATATAAGATGACTAATATGCCATTCTAATTCTCTGTTGAAACTGTCATGAAAAAAAGCGTTAACACAAGAAAATGAAATGTAATTAATTGTGTTACTTATTTATCTAAATATATTTTTTTTTCTAAATAATTAAGATGATTTTATTGAATGAATTCAACAAGTCTATTGTGAAAAAATTCTAAAATATTTAGTATAAACTTGTGTATTATTTTTTTACTCCTCTTCACATTTTAATAATAACATCAGTATATGATAGACAGTACGATACAGTTTATCAACTATCGAGCAGCTGTTTATTGTCAATAAAGAATGATATACAACGAACTATCTTTATCTAGTATCAGGAATAAAAAACGAGAAAAATTATTCCATCATCAACATGTAACCAAGAATTCAGTATATAGACAAAATAATCCATACACTTGTTCTGCAATGTGCAATATAAACTGGTAACTGTTTTTATTTCCCTTTCTTTCTCTCTCTCTCTCTCTCTCTCTGCTTCCACAATCTTTCATCGATTAACTGCTCATATGGAAAAGACGAAGGATGTATATATGTGTGATTATATAAATATAATGAGTAAGAGAAATAAAAAAAAAAAAAAAATGTTCGCCTGTTTTTTTCCTTTTAAAATTTTTTTTGATTTTTTCATTGGTTAGAAATAAAACAATTTTTCATGTCGCATCCAACATGTATTTGATGGAAAGACGAAGAAGGAAAAAAAAAATTGTCATCATGTTTCTTAATAATAATACTAAATAATATATGTTTGATATGTAATCAACAACAGAGAGAACTCACTAAATAATCTTCATTCTTCTATCCTATGTAAATAGATTGCTTTGGCTCTGCACATACCATAGCGATATTCTTCTCTTCTCTTTTTTTTGGTCGTACACATTGCGTTTTTTGAAAAAAAAAAAAAAAAAGAAGAGGATAGATATATGATGTGAAAAATAATATCGACGGTGTGTTTCCCCACATTTGACAAACTATTATATACTCTAGAAAAAAGAGAAAGAAAGAAATTGTACACAACAACATCAACAAGAACAATTCTAATAATCAAAAGCATCATTACCCTTGTTAATCGTGGTAATACGATTAAATATTATATATGTATGATCTTTATGAACAAAAATAGAAATTGAAGAATCAAAAAACAGAACTTTTATACGGTACAATACACACACACACACACACACATATACGAAATTGACTGCATCATGTTCAAGAACATGTAAGTGGAAAAGATAGATATTTAATACATTCTATAACAATATATATATATATATATGTTTAATTTAAGATATAAGTTACTAATACTAGACGTGTAAAATGAGATTAGATGTAGACTATACATACGCATTCGTATAGTCGTACTGATGACGTTAAAGAGAGAAAATCACCTGTTCACTAATGAAAAGAGATTAACTAAGAAAATAAGTTTATTTTAGTGTTTCAAATCAGTTCAAATTTGATTTCGATCTTGAAGAGATTAATTATATTTAGGAATGAGAAAGATAACAAATAACTGAATTGATGATCTAAAAAAAACGAAAATAATCAAGGGTTTTGCATACATATGTTTCACTTTTCAGATCAGAGAAACATGTTGTTTTTAAAAGACTGCTGATCTCATTCTTACTTGTTTTTTGTTGCTATTTATTTGTAAAGATATTTTGTTTTGTTTTTTCTTCCTTTGCTCTTCTGAGTGCGATGGCAACCACAATTGAAATTGAATCGTGAATAAAAGTGATAATAGTACTATGTTAAAGAGAAAAAAAGTTGAAATTACTCCTCTTTTTTTTTCGATTCTCATTTAATTTCTTCTCTTTCTTTTTCTCTCTATTATCATCGTTCTACGCTCTACTATTTTAATGAAAATGAAATTTTAGACGTAAAACATACTTTGTGTCAGTATTTTTAACTTTGAAATCAAATTCAATCGTTTCTTCTGCCTTCTCCCTAGCATAGATCCGATTATCCTTGTGTGTACATTGTTTAATACCACAGCCGTATTGTTTTTCATGTCTATAGTTCTGTGTATGTCTTATATCTTTATAGTTTATAATGCTTGAAAGTAACCCGATTCCATCATCATTCGGTAGTGTTTTTTCACCCGAGCAAGTGGCATGTGTTTGTGAAGTATTACAACAAAGTAATGATATCGAACGTTTAGCAATATTTTTACTATCATTACCATCGTGCGATCATTTTCATAATAATGAAAGTGTTATTAAAGCAAAAGCGGTCGTGGCATTTCGTCGTGGAAATTATCGTGAATTATATCATATATTAGAACGTTATCATTTTTCACCACAAACTCATCCACAATTACAACAATTATGGTTGCAAGCACATTATAATGAAGCAGAAAAGCTGAGAGGACGACCATTGGGAGCTGTAGGAAAATATCGAGTATGTACCTCTATTCTGTTCATGCAAATAAAATAATCATCACATGTTTTATATTTTAGGTAAGAAGAAAATTTCCATTACCACGAACAATATGGGATGGAGAGGAAACAAGTTATTGTTTCAAAGAAAAATCGAGAAATACATTACGCGATTGGTATACCCACAATTCTTATCCATCCCCACGTGAAAAACGAGAACTAGCCGATGCTACAGGGCTAACAACAACACAAGTTTCCAATTGGTTTAAAAACAGAAGGCAACGAGATCGTGCCGCCGAAGCAACTGATAGGTAAGAATAACCATTAGTTGTTGTTTGTTTTTTTACAGACGTATTCTATCTTAGCGCATTTAATGATATATGGTAATTGTACTATGGGAATGGTAATAGAGTTAGTGACCCTATTATCATTTTTAGCAGAAAAATGCGCCTTTTTTCGTAACATTATGGTTCGTTTGAGATGTGCTGGTTTTAATTGCTTGCGCTTTACTTTTGAACAGTGAAACGTCTAATGGTGAAATATGTAGATATCGTAGTTGTATATCACAAACATCTCTTCATTCTTGTTCTTTTCGACTATACCGTACTCCGGACAGAATTGTAGGGATGCTAATGATGCGCCCACCAGAATATTAAAATGAATTGAATTCAACTGAATAAGTTTTAATATCAGGTTAATTATCTAAAAAGAGGAATGGCTGGATAATTAGAATACATTTTTTTTTCTACACATTTTCTAGTAATTAAAAACAGATGTTTACAAACCCTCTAAACCTATTCTTTTATTTCCTCATTTTTTCTGTCCATATTCCCTTTTCAGAATTACATGATTTTATCAAATATCAGATGCACAAATCGTCAGTTCTCCACCCTTCGAATAGTACTAGAATAATACTTCAAAATAGGTTACTAACTATCTCTATTAGCTGACGTAGATATTTGATTTCACGACTTCTTTTTACGTTTCTTCACAATAACGTATAGAGAAGATGATGTTTGATGTGTAAGTGTATAATATAGACTGTAATAATAATAAAATGTAGTCTCTCTGATCATATTATTTGATTGGCATTGATTATTTATGTTAGTTAGATATAATATAAATGACGGTTTATATACAACATTGTGCCATTGAATACTTCCCTAATTTTCTAACCTATGACATGATGAAATGGTAAATCTGTTCGAAATTAGTTAGTTATTGAAATGAGACATAAACGCAAATATAGCTATAATAATAAATATCATCTATTAGATATCGTGTTTGATTTGAGGCTGTTCACAAGATACTCACAAGATGCCAAACTTATTAACTTTTTTGTGACAAGAAAGATTTGAACCTTCAATTAATTTTCTATGTACGATCTTTTTAAATAAAAAGACAGATAACTGTCTTTACAATGTGAATTAGAATATGTCTAATTTGATTTGTATGAAATAATTAAGTTTGAAAAACAAATAATTAACTAGTATGTCAATTCCTTCATCATTGGAAAAAAGAAATTATTCATAAAATTGGAGTTTATAACTAAAGTCTAATGTCAATAGCAGATTTACTATGAAATTGATTTTATTTATTATTAATAGCAAGATGTTAATTATAGTTAGTTGCATAGAGGAACTAGTATAAAAATTTGATATTTCTAATGTCAGCAAATCTGTGGAAACTCCATTTCTGACACTAAATTGTTGAAATAAACGACCTTGACACTTGATTACCATTTCTTAAAGTTAATTACACAAATATGTTCTAAAATAAGAGATATGGAGAAAATAACTTCATCATGTTTAAGAGATATGCATAGTGATCTATTTCAAACTTAAATCTTAATATTGAGAGTCGTTGATATAACCTTCTAGATTCTTAAAACGAAAGGTTTATTAGAATGATGTTTTGCATACAGTATCTCTTTTTGATGTTGGTATAACGTAATCTTCGTAATATGTTCTCAATAGTCGTGTGAGTGTGATTTTTACGAAGACAGATCGAATAAGATCAGAGTCAGTTTGTTTATACAATAAACACGAGTGTACAATAGTTATTTCTTCTTCTCACATTTGATCAGTTGAATATCATGCTGAGCGTTTGAGAGACACAGCTAATGAATAAATGAATGAAGAAGAGGCATACACATACACATAAAATTTTCACACATATTCGTAGTAACATCGTGATAATAAACAACAATACAATCAAAATTTTCTTATAAGACGAATTGTATATTGTCTTAGTTATTAGAGATATGACTGAGATCAGAACAATTGCGATTTACAATAGGATACTTGTTAGAGAAGAAAAGTGAGAAAAATCGGCATCTTTTTTTAAACAAATTAAAGCGTATCGTTTCTTAACTTTTGAAATTTAAAAAATTCTTTGACTTCAATAAGAATCTGTTATCTACTAAGAAGTTTCTACTTCGAATATTGATTTTAGTCTACGGTGTTTTGCTAGTAGTTTTATAGACTCTATTAGAACAACAATCTGAATTGACTACTTTTTAGTAGTTTTATTCGTCAGTATCAAAAATCACTTTTAATATTATTATACCGCGAGATATGTGTAAGAGAATTGTGTCCATGAGTAAGTGGAAGCCAAACGTATGCAAATTTGATGATAATAAATTCTAATTTCTTTGCCTTAGAGCGCTAAATAATGTTAGATATGGTTTCGAATTATTGTTGATTTTTACATATATTTAATCTGTAATATTGATGAGCATAAGAAAAAGAGATGATTAATAGCAATTTTATCTGTCAGTTGAGTTAGTTAGTCACAAACATTAGACTATAGTAGAATTCAACATGTGTCAGTAAATGAAACGTATTTAGCAGCGTGAAGTATCGTTTAAAATGAATAATTTTTGTAAATGACATTTTAAACCAGTATGCGTTTAGTTCAATATTGTTTCATAAAATAATTGAGCGCATAAAGTACATTATTTTCAATTTATTTTGACATCTTGTTTACATATGACTTTCAGTAAAGCATAAAAATGCGTTTGTTTTATAGGACAGTTTCAACATTTTCAGATATTAGAAAAAAATATGAATAATTCCCATTGGAACTAACCACTGGTATATTTGATAGTTTTCGTTGAACAATAATTATAATAATTTATTTTCAAAGTCATACTGCTCAGTGTTTACTCAACTTTATCGAACAAGAAAAGACAACTTTAAAATAGAATTAATTGTTTTTTCTTTTTTTCCGATAGATGAATAGTACTGCATAGAGTATTCACTCTATAATTATCATACCGCTAGGATATACAGAACACGTGTATTAAAATTTTTCTGAATATAAACTCATATCCGTTATATATCTCAAAAAACGATATATCCAATAGTATATAATTCACATCATTTTTTTAACACATACGAATTTATCTCGAACCGCTGTTAAAAAGAGTACCAAAGGTAAAGAAATTGTTTTCTTCTCATGTTGAAGATAAGAAGTGAGAATCAATTTGATAAATGAAAAAAAATGAGAGACGAAAACTGAGTTGTGAAATGACCATCTGTAATATGATCTGATAGAATTAATTAAACGAGCATCAGAGAAAAACAAGAAAATGCCATTACTCAGTCAGACCACATGACCGTTATGGAGACTACTAAAAATGAATTTACTTCAATAAAAAATTCAATTGAAGTTCTTACTCTTCTAGTAGCAATGAATATCTAAGTCTTTGCATTTTTAGACTTAAATAAAGGCTGTATATAATTTTTTTTTATGAAAATGCGAATAGAGAACAGAGGAACAGAGAAACACTTTTGTGCAAAAAAAAAATGCAGCTAGTATTGTTATCCATCTATGATATATATTTCGGGATGTCAGCTCTTACTAGTTAAAGATAATATAGTTATTTTAAGATCGATTTTTGATATTTTACATCTTTTTCGAATCTAATTTAATTTAATCTAAATCTAATTTTCACGAAATAGTCTCGTTTGTTTGTAATGTATTAGTGCGTATCACTTTTTACTTTGTTTGAAGTTTAGAATACTTTAACAATAATTGGACTTACGTTGATTGTCATGCTATTTGAACAATGATAGATGCGAATATATAAAATTCTCCTATTTAATTGTACATTTTTACTTTTAGAAAACCATTGGAAAATGGTGAACATCACTCTCAAAATGACAATTCATTAGATGGGAGTCACTCAAGTGATAGTGATGAAAAAGGAGATTATAACGGCTTATTATCTGAAATAGATATTAAACGTCCACAACTATCGACAACAGCCGGTTCACAATTATACATTGACTTTCAAAATTGTATTCATAATACTAATAACACTACTACACATCATTTTTCAAATATGGGTGCCACTTCTCTATTACCAATTCCATCGTCGTTAAACGTTTCTCATAATTTGAATAATGGGAAAATGCCTCAACATGATGATAACAGTGCATTAAGAGATTATCATTCATTATAATATTACTGTTATCAATATAATGTTTTATGTTTGTTTTAAAGCGCGATCAGATATCAGTCTATATAATTCTGTGTTTAATTAGACAAAAAATATAAACGTTAATTTTTATTTATTTTTTTCTGTCTTTCGAAGAAATGTTTTGTATTATACGTTTTGTTTCCAATTATTAGAAAAGATCACAGACAAACCGCTTCAAAGTTTATATAACGTATTCTCGTATTATGAGAAGTTATCAAGAGAATAGACTCTTTGTTTGACTAATGATTGATTCATATCAGAATAGAGATGCTATAATACAAATTATATTATTTATAATAATAAGAATAGAGTATCTTAACAAACAGGTAGGTATTAATGAGAGTCCCTCAATTAGTACGTTTGTAATATCATAAATCGAATGGCAATCTTAATTCTTTTTATGAAGAACTTCGAATGTTATTGAAATTTTCACTTAGGATCAACTTTTATTTAGTGAAAATGAAAACTTAAATCTAAGAATGAAAAAGGTACCATTAATTCTGTCACATCATCATTTTTTACAAGACAATTTAAAGATCTAAATCACATAATGGATGCTGTATATTCGATTATAACTTATACTTAGTACTTTAAAAGTAAGCGTTTTGATACAGGTGTGTTCTTTATTAGATACACAACTTTTTTTTTTTGTTCTTTGTTTCTCCAAACAAAATACACACTCTCAAACAGACATATTCAGATGCTTCTTAGTATATTTGTATGTGCATGTATGTTGTCACGCACCCAAGTAAATATTTAATTTTTTATTGATCTGTCTAACCAAGAGAAGAAGAGAGAAAGAGAAAGAATGGAAAAGAAATCGGATTCTAAAAAGTGAAATTTGAGTAATAGAGAAAAAAGAAAAACGTTTTTCAATAACAACAAAAAAAAAATTAGGTTTGTTGACATATCGTTAATAATGAATTAAAAGATAAATAGAGTGGAACAAGAGAGATCTCACACGAACGTGTACAGAACAATAAGGAAAGAATGATGAAGTGGTGAGAAAGAATAAAGATTGTAAATTGCTTGAGTTAAAGTTGTTGTATAACGATTATAATGCAAAGAACTTAGAAATAAACACGATCAAAAGACTAGAGTATACAACATAGAGCTGAATAATTCCGAAATTTTCCAAGTCGCAAGTTAAATTTCATCGAACATCAATTTTATTGCGCTTTTTCTAGAATAAGACATAGATTACATAGTCTTCGTAGATTTATTTTATCATAGAAACGTTTTTTTTAGAAGATTGAGTCAAATCAAATTAGTTGATTTAATTGAGATTTATATCATTTTTTTTGTCTTGATTTATCCAATTCTTGTCCAACAGGTGGTTACCGAGCATTTTAACTTCAATTTTTTAATAGTATCGGTGAAGATATTTTATAAGAGTAGTACGTTAGTTACAAGGTTACTGATAAATTGCGTGTACATTTAGAAATAATTATTTTGCTCACATGATGAGAAAGAATTAGGCAATAGTGTATATATTTATCCGTTGTTTATGATGACATAGTGTAAGTATGTTGCGAGTGATGATGATGCATTCTCGACTAATCTTTGTGTTATTTGTAACTGGAGACGCTATGTTGTTTAATATATAAACATATGTATGTGTGTGTGCAAGAATATAAGGAAACTTTGAACTCAAATATGGAATCTAATTCTTTTTCTATGATGATAAGCTTTTATTTTCTTTCTGTTACGTCATTGCGCACGACAATCTTCTCCTCTCCATAGTTGGTGTTCAGATGGGACAAAAAAAATTGAGAAGATGGAAAAGTAGTATCAAATTACTATGATTTATACATATATTTCCACATATTTTGAGTACAATTAAAATAGAAAATTTTGACAAATCGAAAAATTAGTATTTTATTTTTTAGATAACGATACATTAGATGTCTAATTATTAGATATTTTTTTGCCTAATATAGACCGACTATAGTAGAGAATATATATGATAGTGAAAATCGAAATTTATTTCATCTTAAAGATCTAAACCATCTCAGACAAAATTCATACATCTGATTTTGACCAGTTGAGAAATATTTCTTTATGTGTATGTATATAAGATGATCGATATCGAAAGTGCTGAAGCCATCATCTTTGTTCGGAAAATATATGTATCATCATAATTGAATAAGATGTTATTTTAATGTTCATGATATCTGGAACCATCTTTTGTTATCTTTGATGTTTGGCACCGTACATACTTGATATTTTTACACCTTTTATTTTATAGCATTAATTATTATTATTTTAAAACGAAAAATGAACGATATCTATATGAAGAAAGGAGAGAACTGTTCGTTCATTGTTTGATGATACGTCATATGTTGCTTTTGATGAAATTCTAATTCTTTTTTATTTTTTATCTGATTAACGCCCTGCATGTATGTGCTAGTCAATTAATCTTTTAACCAATTGTTATTTAATATTTCAACATTCAATTGGGTTTACGTTTATTTTATATTTTAATTTTTCGAAAGAAATAGAACAGAAACGTAAAAATAATTTAACTGTTAACGTTTTCTCTTATGATGGAAAAATATATATAAATTGAAATTTTGAAATATATATGTACATACTGAGAATAATGAGAATGCAGTATTATAAAACTAAGTTGGTATAAGTAATGAAAAGAAGTAGTTGAGCGAAGTTCAGATCGTTGCTGATGATGGTGATCAAGCCATATTATTTGTTTCCGTAAATCAATGGTAATAAGACAATCATTGGTCGTTTATAGTTCAACTTCTTTCATACAACGGAGTAGTAGTTTAATCAAATAATAAGATTATAATGCCACAAAATCTTGTTCGCAAACAAGTAGAGCGCTTTTGACTTATTCAATAAGTGGCGGTAACATAAAACATGTCACCTATTTGTTTAGCCAATGTTATCTAAACTACTATAGACGACTCATTGAACATACTGACAAATAATATGGTTAGTCTTAACAAAAAATAGAATGCCTTTGCACTTGCCGTTCTTTACCTTTTTACAGAAGTCACATTTGTTCATCAAACACAACTGTTAGATGAGTAATACAGATGTTGATCAATTAAAGATATCACCGACCTTATCGTAGTTTTTTCAAAATCAGCAAGTCAATCACAGTTAAAACCGATCCGATCGGAAGATCAAACGGAACTGATAGAAACTTTCAACTCACCCACTGTCGATCGATTTACCTTGTGAAAAATTATGTGGTTTATTTCGCTATATTTCCGAAAATTTAAAATTTCGATTTTTACTTAAAAATCGACTTTTTTGTACTAAAATGGAAGTTTAAAATCAAGTTCTTTTCTTTACATAAAGTATCATCTTCTCCGTCAGCCAGTTTTCGTCACTACAGTTTCGTTTCAGGATGAAATATTTCTCCTTCGTCATCAGAGCGCTAAATTAGTTCTTTCTCCCTTCAGTTTTCTATTAGCTGCCACCTGAGTCTCTATCTCTTCATCTAGATTTTTCTGCAGTTCTTTTAGAAAAAATTTGAGAAAACTTTTAATTTTTTTTCCATCTAGCAAGGAAAAAAGATTCATTTTACTTGAAATTTTTAGCGCCTTATCCACCTCCAGACCAAGAAAAGGGCCACTTCTTGGAAAGTTTGCTGTCACTAATTCGTCCTGAGAAAAATATTTTATCTGAAGTGGAAGATAAAAATACAACACAAGAATATTTTTTATGTTTTTCTTTGGTAATACGTAAAAAAATGTTGGGCAGTTCTGATTATATCGCTACTGTAGGCTAGTTATTTAAATTCGTCTATCTGTGATTTTATTTTAATTTGATTCAAATAATATTTAACTATGAACGTAATCGAGTGATTGTTTTATTTTCTACCAAGTGTAGTCGTTTATACAAACAATTGTGAGAAAGAACAATTTTCTAATGCATAAGAACAAGTAAAAGTTGTTTTTTGTCCACCACTACCATTATAATTCTCTATCAATTAGTCTAGTTTATTTAAACATGATCTCCTTCGCAAAGAGAGATTATTGACTATCAACATGTTTCACATTGATTGAAGAAATAAGTATGAGAGAATAAGATTGCAAATGGATGATTACATTTACTTTTCGTTAACGATTTAAAAAAAAAGATTAATTTCCTTAACTTAACACCTTTAAATATTATGTTTGAATGTTTACATATTCTTTTCATTGGTTACAAGTTAATGTTATTACTTTTCGAAGAATAAATATCTTTCAACAATTAACACTTGTAGAACGAACACTTATCAAGCTGTATGACGATCAGGAGATATTTTCTTTTTCTAATACCATTAGATCAATAAGTTTAATTTTATGTTTTATATGATAAATACTTTCTTTATTTGAATGTACAAATTCATTTTTTTGTTCGTTTGAAATCTAAGATCTTTCTCATTTATTTATTGTACACATTTTATAGTGATTTATAATCTAACGATCGAAATGATTATGTTAACAGATACATTTAGTTAATGTGGCAGATCTGACTAAAGTTATTTCAGGTATCGCTCTATGTGTGACTGATTTCTGGTAAAAAGTTTCGACATTACTTCCTTCTTGAGGTCTAGAAGCGGCAATGGTGATACCACCACTAACAGAAAATGTCATGATTCAAGAAATAAACTTTTAAAATCGCTTAATACTTTTAAATATAATCTATCTTTCCCCTCTATTCCGACATTTTAGACTCGTACTCCATCGTCTATACATTCGAATTAGACGGTCAAGAATCTGTAGAAAATCCTTTAACGGTAAATACTTTATACTTTTTTTTGCTAGTTTTCCTAATTTGAGTATATTCCATTATTTTGTTCAAGTGAGGTCGCGGTTGACCTGAACGAGTGACGGAAAATTTACTAATGCGACAGAATATTGAAACTGTCGTTGGTGGCGTTCCCAGTGCCAAACTATTTCCATTTACACCTGGTATAAATTTCAGCCGTATCTATCACATCAACTAAATGTATTTGTCCACTTCCATCATAAAATGACTCTCAATCTGTCTCACAATCATTTGGTGCTTTTTATCGATATATTTAACCGTTATGAAATAGACAATGAATGGAAAGATCCTCAAGTTGTTATGCATAGAATGTACGCATATTTATTGAAACGGAACCAACTGTAAATGAAAATTTGGGTACTAATATTAGAGATTTGTTTTTTCCAAAACCAACGTGTGAAGTTACACAAACAAAATTAGTTTGAGAAAAAGGATATTAGTTCGAGAAGTGCCACAGGTGTAATATTTCGTTGTTGCCTCTTTCCAAAAACTGTACTTGAAATCTTTCTGAAATAAAATTATATCTATCAATTTCTAGGCGATCACATTTATTAGATCAAATACTTCCACATGTCTAAATTCTTTTGACAAGATTTTCAGTCTAAAAGGTCAATTTCATATAGTTTCATTTTAGATGGTCATACATGACAGAATAACTAAGAGTATAGAAAAAAGCGGACACTAAATCAGCTGCGTTAATGATCTACAAAAATCAGAAATCAGAAATGGTCACAGCATGCTCGTTTACCTATAAGAGAAACCGATTCACATGACATGTTATGGCTAACACTAGTGACGCCTTCATATTCACGTTATTTGTCATTAAATCGGCTGGGTGAGGACGGAACAAAAAGAGACTTAATGCTTTACACTCGAAAAAATTCTCCTTGTGTACAGCTTTCTCTTTCGAATCATCTATTTGTTCTCGGCTATGCCTGATCATATGGGTCTGGAAAAAGACGATTTGAATCTTTAAGAGCTGTAGATCAATGAACTGCAACTAACATAAGCTTTTTCCAGCTAGCCTGTTAGGTTATGAGTAGTTAAAAATAGTGGCATAACCAGGAATCCGTGGGCGATATGGCAGTGCTCCACGACCTTTAAAAAAATCCATCCACGATAGTTTAAATTTTTTCCACAACTGAAATACAGTTGCTCAATTCTCACTTTCTTAAGAGAGAGACAATACAATGTATCTGTACTTTTATGAAAAGGACAAAAATCTAAGTGCAAATATTATTTTTTGTTTCTCCCGGTGCCCGGGCAAAGACTGCCGGTGGCCGGGCGGCGTTCGGTCTAGCCCACCTCTGGTTACGCCACTGGTTAAACAAGTCCTTATGTTAATAAGTCGATCATGGGATAGAATGTGGAGTGTTACACCCAGTATATATCTGACCTTTCCAAGACACAATCCGACAATCTTAATGCTGTTTTCGGCTGATATTTAAGCAAATTTTTTTTCTGGTTATATGGAGTGTAGCCTAGTTATTATGTTTTCAAGTTTTTAGCTAGGGAATATGTCACAATGTATCCCGCTATCCTTAAAGCATCCAGAATGCATTAAATACACTGGAATTCCATACAAAAGCGGGCTATCACGAAAAACGTGCAAAAAAAGAGATGAACAGCACAATTTCGCAGTTTTCCTCGACGTCTATTTATTTATTGTTTCCACTTGAACCATTATGAAAGTACTTTACAACAACTTGGTCAAGTATCTACCAACAACTTGGCAAGCTAGTTACTTTGAAAATACTTGAGAAGTATCTTAGAAAATTGGCAAGTATTCAAGTACATTCATTTAGGATAGTGACAGCGTGACAATTTACAAATCATCATAAAAGTAGGAAATAATTTGAAATATTTGCTAGATCTCGATGCGCTGATTATTGTAACATCGCTTTTAGAAATCTTTTTATTCAATACCGATAATTATTTTGAAAAAATCTCAAAAGTCACCATTTTTTACTATGTCGTCCATAATTTTACAATCCATCAACAGAGTTTTATTTCAACCATCTCATCAAACTTAAAATGTTGAGGAAAATGCATTATGACACTGTAACCAATGCATTAAGTTCTATCTAATAAATGGAGTACATGAAATCCAAAAGTCAAAGTCACGCTTGATGAGTTTGTTCATGAGAGACAGACAATTTGACCTAGTTACCTCTACTTTTGTTACTTATTATTTATGTTTATTTCAATTTTTTGCAGAAATTTGGTTTGATGCATCTGCTAACTTGTCATATGATAACTCATCGGATACGTTTTACTCATGTTTTTCGAATGAAACTGGTACATAGACTAATAGAATGATATTCGCCTGTTTGTCTTGTGTGTGCGTTTATCTTGCTTACAATTGTCTCTCTAGAACAGGAATACACTAATTCTAAAAGCGGTTTATCGGTATATCTACAGAAATAATTGTACTTCTCAAACTATTTGTTACCAATTGCGCTCCATGGTTTCTGACTGCAGTTAAGACTTTTCTTCTTCTTTTTTCAAAAATCAAATATTTGTGAATATCCAGAATATTTTCAAGAAAATCTAAAACAATTGGGTTCCATTGTTGTTGAAGAATTAATAACACATGAAGTAAGTTATGTATAAGAATGATGAACAAATAAGAAATGACATATTTTTTATTTTTAGGATAACTACTCAATTGTCGTCAAACAGAGGTAGCAGTAAGTCAAACTGGTGTACTTGTTCATAGTTTATCGACATTTCAACGAGGAATGTCTTTTAAATTACAAACGGTCAGTTCACATTTTGAAAATAATAAGACTAAAAATAAAGAAACAGATATAAACGAAGACTCTAGTGGTATTGACAATGATGAAGAAAATATTAAATTAGAAAATAATTCAGATGAAGAAACTAATCAACAGGTATTTATATTACTCAATAAAAATTCATTAGAAAGGTCTTAATTTTATTTCTCTTGATTAGCACCGTTCAATATCCACAAAATGAATCGATTCGATGTAGTGTTTTTTTGTTTGTTTTTATTAATTGCTATTTTTGCATTATTTGATGCATGTCATCAACTTATAATTTTGTGGTTTTTTTGCTAAATAAGAATTTATCAGGATTTTACATATTTTTGTTATTGTTGTATGTGGTGGTACATTCAAGAAAAAAGCAGCGTTGCTTGTTGATTATGAGTGAAATATTCCTTACTGCAAGCATACTAAACGTATTTCGTATTGACTTCATCTCGATGTGTTTGCCATAACCTTGTCCATTTCAAATAGAAGTTCTTTTCTTTCATGAAGAAATATTGTCGATAAAATTGCGTGTACATACATTTTTCACCTAGACCTGTGTCACAGGTCACAACAAAAAATGAAAACGCAATTAAGAATTTCTTTATCCTTCAAAATATTTATTGAAGAACGTCATCGAACTCACATATTGCAGACATTGACTTAATAACAAAAAGATCTCTAAAATTGCTTGAGGAAAGTATTTTAATAAAGTAGATAGTTCTGGCTTCGATCTAAAGGTATGACGAATGTTAAAAATAGTCGATAAATTTCCGATATTTTTCCATTCAGTTCTTTTTCACGATAGTTACGATAATTTTTCTCACTCTTGAGAGAGTTTCCTTTGTATTACAAAAAGAGTAGAAAATACTTATTTTTCTACTCTTCGTAATTATTTTAATCTTTCAACAACATAGATTACTGCTTATTCATATTCACTTTGAATATAAATATAAAAGCTTTAGTTTATTGTAACGAATACTTCAGAATAAATGAACTGCTTAGTATTTATGAACTTTTAAAACAGTTCATGACTTAGGCTTAACTCTTTTTCAAACAGATGTGTGTCTTAAATTTTTTTATGCAAGATGCATTTATTACAAAGTACAGAAGTGAACAGGTAGCTATACGGACAGTAGTAATAAGCGACAAACAAAAATATTCAACTTTCAATACTAGCGAATTCAGATTCTCTTTTAAATTGAGATGAAGGCATTAAACTGCATGAAAGTAAAGCTTCTGATACTGTAGACTCAGGTGGTAAACAAAGAACAGATAGAACATAATGGAAGTAGCTTTTTTAGTTTTTCTTAACTATACGACGCTCTCAGCATGATCTTTTTTTAAAGGAAAGAAGTCACTTTCAATTTAAAGCTCTGTAAAGTTCAAAGTGAATGCACAGCATTTTTGTCTTTCTACTACTGATACTATCTATTCCTATATTCTTTTCGTTATCTATGGCCGCACTGTTGAACTGTTTTGATGTAATACTATATGATTCGATGGAAAAGATGCGCTTTATACACTTTTTCCGTCCGGCAAAAACGACCCAATTTTTTGGGTTATTTATCTAGATTCAGCTCTACATACATCTAGATGCACGTGGAGCTGAATCTAGATAATTAACCCAAAAGATTGGGTCGTTTTTGCTTGGGCAGATGGGATTTCATTCCTTGTTTTCATATCTTTTTTGAACAAGCTACGATTAATAACAAGTTTACTATTAAGACCCTTCTATAGTATAGAACAGTGAGTTTTTCAATGTAAATTCAAAACGTCCATCCAATAAACCAGTGTTGCTAAGAAGCGAAAAAATGCACGAAATAAGCATATATTTTCTGTCTGATCAAATAATACAACTTTTCAATATAACGTAATGTATTTGCTTGAAGATCCTCCTTAGACAGACTAAATTCAGTAAGCACAATGTGGTTCACCAACGGCCGTTATGCTATCACGAAATAATGTATGAGATTTGATAACACCATGGTGATTTTAGCTGGTGTACCAATACAACTTTTAATTGTGTAAAAATGCACGCTGCTCGTATAATCTAAGTCATTGGTCCTGTTGACATTCGACTATAGTTGACATCTTTTTCAGATAGAGGTATGCTTGAAATACAATGTTGTTGAATTATTCTATGACTGAAGTCACTCCGTTAATAATGATGCTTCCTGTATAACGTTGTTGAGAAATATGTGTTCCATTGATCTTGAAAAAAAGCTATTTGGAGTTATGACACAATTACCATTGATAATTTTATATGTCAGAAAACTCAACTGTTGAAGTGGATTCTCTATAAGATAGGAACTATATCTACATCGTTTTTTCGCTTTACAGTTTCGACACACAGATTCCCAATTTGATTTGTCTCGCTATATCTGAAATATATTTTGCAACGATCTTCAATTAAGATTTAATTTTTCTCGAATACCTTCCATAGTTTAGAACACATTCTTTATCAAAAGGAAATTAACACTCTTGTACAGTTCTTTGAAGTCTAGATTTAAGTATAAAAGTTGACTTCATTGAACTACTCTAAAAAAACAACGAAAATTTAGTTTTTCCACTCTACATATTCAAAAAAAGTTATTGAATTTCCTGCATATGTATGTAATAGATATGTTGTTTCTCCTTAAAATAGAGCACTTCAAAATGTTTTATTTCAAACGAGGTACGAGGATGATCCAGTTAGACGACTTAGATGATTTTACACTATGATATGAAACACTCATACAATGATAATGATTATTAACATAAAGAAGAAAAGAAATTTTTCTTATTCAGTCTAGTTGTACCGTGGATACAATTATAAGTAAAGAATAGAACTTGGATCGGATTCAAGACAAAAATGAATGAGTTTATTTTATTAATAAGAGAGATCTTTGAGAGGTGTCATCAAAATATTTAAATAGATAGCCTGTTGTTTTTTTCCGTTTTTTGGCATGGTTGGCTAGCGCTCATCGTGTTTCGGAATTTTTAGATAATTTTGGATTTTGAGTGAAAACTCTGCTTTCAGTTTTTAAGAAAATCAAGAAAAACTGAATAAATACGGACTAGCCTGAAAATTCCGAAACATACCTGTTTCAACACAGTTTTTAACACTGATTCAGAAAATGACATCATTTTTGTTGAAAAGTTGGATTTTCATAAAGAAAACGGCAAAATATGAGACCAATTTCATTGGTTTTTCACTGATTTTGAAAAAAATTGAATTTCTCAGCAACAAAACAAAGTTTTTTCAGAATACTCAACTTTTCTCCCACAAGTATGGCAGTCAGAATGAAGCAAAAAAAAGAATTTTGTCTCCTAAACTATCTAGATCGGTTTGCGTAATTTACCGGCAGGGACTTTACCGTCCTGCTCGCGTTTGGCCGATTCTGAGTCCATCTTAGCTTCTAAAATTTCCAAAATTAGCTGGCTAGACTCATTTTTAAATGGAAAATAAGAAAAAATGGTTTTGAAATTTTAAAAGACGATCAAACATGAAAATTTTGCTTATCATTCAAAAATTTCCGCGTTTTTGTCCATCTTTGAAAAATAAATATTTTAAAGTATTTTCACCAAAAAATGTCTTCCGAAAAGCTGAAATTAAGTTTTTTGTAGGTGACTCGATGAGCGCTATCCAACCGTACCAAAAAAACGAAAGAAAAAGACGCTATCTTTTTTAATTGCCGGCATCTTACATCACTAATAACATTAGATATTAATAATAAAAGGAACCGTTGAAGTTAAATAAAACTATCTTCAAATTATGCACAGAAAAGTACTAATTTGTTATAGTTTAACTACTACTATGATTAAGTCTTAAAGAAATATAATATATAATCGTATTAGTAAAAAGTAATTTCTACTAGTTCAAAACCCCCTGAAAAACAACTCTCAGCATTATTGGCCTGTGAGAAAATATATTTAGTTAAAAATGGCTGCATTTATTTAAAAATGTTATTGTCTCTGAGACTTGACTGTTTTTCTATCTAGCTATCTAGCTGTTCATTCATAATATATAGAACAAAATATTCACATATAAACCTATCTTATTCATTCTTTTCTTCGAAAAAAGGATAAACGTGATCTCTCTATTGTATGATGATAAAAAAAAAAGTTGAGAAAGAAATCACAAGCGCAAAGAAAAGTCAGAACAAAAAAAACGGAAAAAATTAGAAATTGATGAACATATATATATATAAAAAAAGACTACACCTAGTCATATACATCACAAAGATCACTTTTTCTGTTTTTAGAATCCTTTTCACATTCTTTTTCATATTTTCTTTACTATACAAAGAAATATACGCGTAGGTGAAATAATTGTATGTTGTAACAGAATTATATTTGCTAAGCTTCTTTTACTCAAAAAAAACACAGTAGTGAATGTATTTTTAAATGCAAATTAATCATGGTTAAACGCCCAGTTATATATAACAAAGTTTTATAGTAGATAAAAAAGAAACTTAGTATCCTGTAAAATTAGAAATAGAACAAGTTTTTAGGAAATCTAATGTTTCAGCGAAGTTTAAAATAGAATGCTAAATATGAGACCGTAGGAATATATCAAGTTTTAACGAGGTCTCTCTATTGAACAATTTGTTATGACGTAAGTTGATCATTAAAAAGATTCCTTACTTAAATTTAGAAAGATTTGGTTACATATGTTAATGTGCCTTTTAGCATTAGATGAGATGAGATAATTTAAAATTGTATTCACTTCAAATGAATAGTTTTTTTCAATGTAAAATTTTTTTAAAAAATACTCTAATACTTTTGTTAGAGCAAATTTTTAATTTTAAATAGAAACATCTGAACAATCACATGATTGATTTTAAATTAAACAAACGTTTCAAATTTATATTTTCATTTCATTTTTTTTTTTTCTCCTTCAGCAAACCGAATTTATTAATGGCATTTAGTAATTTATTTCGACGTACCGATCCTGTCTCTTATAGTTTCAGTTATACATGTGTCGATGAAAATTCAACCATTGAAACGTTATTAGATGAATTGGAATCTCAATGTCGACATTGTTGTTTCCGAACTTCTGTATCAGGTGATCACACAAATAATTTATCTTTAGTGAAGCGTAATTCTGAGCAAATCGGTATCAATACAAATTATTCAACTAAACGTCATGCATCTGTTGATTATAGTTGGTTGTCACCAACAAATTTTCTTCAACCCAATGATATGTATCATTTACCAGATATAATGAAAATGGAACTAACAGAATCGTTAAAGAATGTTCCATGTGAAGATTGTTCAATATTAATAACAAATTTTCGACGTGCTCTACGTCATTTACCATCATCGAAAGTCACGCCTGAGTCGATCATAGCTATATTTCGTAAAACTATAGCTGAATATTTGGAAACCAAACAAAAACAATCACAACAATCTTCACAACAAAATATATTATCGAAAGAGTGTCCAAAATCAACAATATCAAATATGATTCGAAATAATCGTATTTTACCAAAGAATAAAGATGATGAATTGTGTGCAGAACTTACGGAAATATCAATAACATCATCCTCAACGGATGATAAGGTAAAGACACATTTGCATTAAATTTATTCTACTCGTCATTACAAAGAATCGATGTCGAATTAATGTTTGTTTTTTATTTCTTTAACTTAATTGAAGCACGCTATTCTGTAAAAACTCCCTTTAATTCCTTCTTATTTAATACTTTCTACTGATTCTGTGTATATTTAAGGCTTTTTGTAGTAATAAATGTGCAATATCAATTCAACGACTGTTCTGTGAAAAGGCGGATGGATTAGAAAAGCAGACGTAAAACTGCAATTATGATTAATTCGCAATGTATCGACTGTTTTTCCTCCTATATCTACGTGCTTTTACTTGTAGAGAATTTTTTGGCATAGTGTTCATCGATTTCACTATACCGCACCTCGATGCGAATTGGATCTTGATTAGAGAATCTGAAGATCAAGCTACTTCTTAATACAGGCTTGGGGTTTAATCACTCGCTCCATATTCTTTTTATAAAAAAAGAATTATTTATTCTTCAAAATATGACTATCGCCTTGTCTCATCCATATAGAGCACATAGTAGCCTTTTAGATTACCTAAATATTCCATTCATACAAAAATTACTAAAGTTTGTCAAATTCAAGCAAAGCATTGTGTATAGGTCTCAAATGTTGAAAGGGTTCGAAAATCAAATTCGTGATGTCGAATTAGTTATGGACTACATATGCATAATTAGGCCTCTTTGAAAAGCACACACATGTCTGAATATTCTTTCAATTATATATGGATCTTATTCAAAGGATCGATTAAATCAGCATAAAGAATACCACTTTTGTATTTTAATAATCAATAGTCTACACATATGCTCTAATGGTTTAAATTGATAAAAAATATCTGCATGGAAGTTTAATTATCTCATTTTTAAGCATCTCACAAGATAGTTGGCTGTTATACTAAATTAGAAAGTTTCTGTTCTATTGTGAATAGCGCTTCCCATGAATAATATTACACAAGAACAATAAAAATTGTTATGATCCTTGAAATAAAATATATATAGAATTGTGATGACAGTCACAGAGTTAAAAAATATAAAATAAATTAGTTATTGACAAGACAATAACTATTAGTCAAAAAATAGAAGAAAGTCAGCCAGAAGTTTTCCAGTAACATTTTCGCTTTTTGTACAAGTCTTTTTAGGATGCTATCATGCTCTTTTCTTTTAAGATTTATTAGTTTATACCTGTCTATTGTTGCTCGTTGTAATGTACAAAATGCAACAGTATTGATATGCGAAATGAATCACTTACTTTTAAGCAAAAAGCGTCTAGAAAATTAAGAGAGCGTTCATACTTTCATCCACCAATTTAGATAACAGGTAGTAGTCGACGACGTTTGTTTTTATATTACCAGAATGATTCATCTACAAAACCGCTAACTCTGACATATTCAACAGACCACCAGAAAATCAGATAAAATCTTTTTGCAATCCTACAATAGGGTCATGTAGATAATTCGTTTTAGTAATAGGTAATAATTTGAACAAGAAGATTATTGCGATAACAGCAGCATTAAACGTCATATATTTATTTCAATATTAACGTCAACGTTTCACTGTTTCGAACAGCATTTTTAAGACATAGTATAAAAATGAATCTGATAAGACTCTTATAGAATAAAAAGCAACAGCATATTTTCCACTGGAATATTTCAGTGATAAGACTGTAATATAGCTTCTACTAATAATCCATAGTGTACTGTACGTACAGTACACTAATGGAAACGTCTACTGTCAGTACAATGGAGTTGCTATGGGATCACCCCTAGGCCCACTCCTGGAAGACCTATTTATAATTCATCTTGAGAAAACACTGATGTCAGAGTTAAAAAAACTGGTGTCGTATTCTGGAAGCAATTTTTCGACGACATGTTCGCTCTCGTCGGAGCTGATGCAGACGTACTCAGCTTACAAGAAATTCTGAATAATTTCCACAGTGATATTCAATTGACTTGTGAAAAAGAAAAGGAGATGACCCTCCCTCTTCCTGATGTACTCATCAAACGTACATCAGAGCTGACTCGGTCTAAATTTACGACTACTGTGTATAGAAAACCTACGTACACGCGTCTACTAACAAAATGGACATCTTTTGTCCCAACATTCTACAAAGTCAGTGCGATTATTATCCGTTCCAGAAGTCAACGCACCCGGTTGTTTTTGTCTATCTTGCAAGGTTTAGACAAACTAGGCAGTTTTTCGAAGCCCTAGGACTCCGCTTTCTTTAGGTGTGACACTATTGTAAACACATGAAAACATAGATTATCGAGTATGCTCAATCTGATGGCAGTGTTATTTTTCAGAACAAAATGCAAGAACCGAGTGAAAACCTATACTAGGTGATATAACCCATTTTTGATTATTTTCATCAAAATTTAAAAAATTCATAACTGAGTCAAAAACCATTCAAACTACTTCAGAATTTCGGCAAACCCTCCATTTTATCTGCAGTTCAATAAGTTCTCAATAATGCTCAACAAATGTTAAAAAATCCAGCGGAAAATACTTTGGTTTCTAGAAAGGGTTCCCAGAAACCTTCGGAACTAAGAGAATACTTTTTTATTGATTTTACGTAAAGAATCAGAATTATCGGGTAAATGGAGGATTTGCTGAAATTCTGAAGTAGTTTGAATGGTTTTTG